AGGTTTCCTGGCAGGGAGGGAGGAGCAGACGTCTGGACAGGCTTTGGCACAGCACTGGGGACAGTTCACAGGGGCTCGGCCTCCCCATCCCTACTCATGGGCTGGGAAGAAACCTGAGTACAGGCAAAGCTTGGGCTCCAGCTTGGTTTGGATGGGCACCTTTTGGCTTGGATGGGCACCTTAGGCTTGGATGGGGTGCTCTGCAAAGCCCAGAGCCAGCAAATGTCTGGACAGACTTTGGCACAGCCCTGGGAACTCCTCGTCCAGTCTCAAGGAGCTCTGGCTGCCCTGAGCCCTGTGCAGGGCCTGGGGCCAGGGTTCAGCCTGGCACCCACCTCTGGCAGTGCCTGGCATCAGGGGGCCCATCCTCTGCCCCAAGCCCCTGCCAGCAGCTCCAGGAGGTCGAAGTCCCAGACAAGCCATCGAGCCCACTTGGTGCAGCCCTGGTCCTACTCCTAATCCTATTCCTATTCCTATTCCTACTCCTACTCCTACTCCTGATAATCTGGGTCTCATTTAGGTCACACCCTGGGGTTGGGGAGCAGAGGGATCTCATGCTGAGGGTGAGTTCAGAACTCTCCCCCAGTCCTGGCAGCTGTAAATGAGCTGGGGAAGCACTGAGCTGCTTCCACAGGGATTTCTGGATGCTCCATCCCCCCCAGGCCCAGCCCAAACCCCCTCCCCGGGGCTGGCAGTGTCTGTGAGGGGGCTGGCACAGCCAGGCCAGGGTTGGCACTGGCTCCCCTGGCTGGGAGCCGGGTGTGGGCTGGGGACAGCAGCCAGGGAGCGAGGGTGGCACAGGGACAGGGCTGGCTGCCGGCAGTGCCCAGGGTGTTTCCAGCAGCACTTGGCTGCTGTTGGTGTTTGTAGGAGCCTTTTCCTGTCTCGTGCCAAATTTGGGACATGCTGGCACTGGCATGAGTCGTTGGCACTGGCACCTGTGTGTCAGGGCTGGGATCATCCCCCCCGTTGGGCTTTTGAGCACTTGCTGCCCCATTTTCTCCCTCCCTACTTAGGCATCTCCATCCTCCCCGGGGTCCCCATGCCTGGAAAGATGCAGCAGCATCCCATAAACTGAGCCCAGAACCTCCCCGGGGTGCCTCTGCCTGCCCCCACCCCAGGAAGGGGGTACCCCAGGCCTGGAGCAACACTGGTGGGATTTGGGAAGGAGAAGGTCTCAGCAGGACCATTTGCATCCTGCTGGAAGCATAAAACAAGGCATTGCTTTGCCTGAGGTGTTTGTGCTCAGGAGATGTCCGAGCAGGGGAACCTGGAAATGTCACCCTGGGCTGATTTTGTGGCCTTTGTTCAGAAAAAGGGAGAAATGGCAGCGGGGGAACAGCTGCTCTTGGAGGAGCTGATGGTGCTGAGCACGTGCTAGCAGAGCAGGAGCAGTCTGAAGGAGGTGGAAGGGACTGTGCTGCCTCCTCTGCTCTGGGAACAGGTGGGGAGAGGAGCAAAATCCCACCTGCAGGAATCATGGAATCCCAGAATAATCAGAATAAGGTTGGAAGGGACCTTAAAGCCCATCCAGCTCCACCCCCTGCCACGGGCAGGGACACCTTCCCCTGTCCCAGGGTGCTCCAAGCCCTGTCCAGCCTGGCCTTGGACACTTCCAGGGGTGGGGTGGGATGGGAGTCAGTTCCCACAGAATGGCACTTACCAACCCAAACCATTCCATGATTGTGTGATCATCCAAGAACCAGTTCCTCCATGCTGCTGGGACAGAATGGGCTCGGTGGCCACACATCCTGGTGGGGAAGGAGGCAGGGAGGGAGGGACGGGCTCTTCCAGGGGCTCACAAGTCGCCGAAGTGTCTCTGCTCTGGTTCCTGCCATCACAGCCCCTCAGCCCCAGGCTCTGCTGGCTCTGTGCCCCAGCCCTGCGTGCAGCAGGCGTGTGTTATTTTTAAAAACAAATTAAATGAGGAGAAGAGCCTCTATCTAGGCCTTGCACTGGAGGCTTAATTGGCCTGGCCCCCCCGGGAGCAGGCGAGCCCGGGACTATCGCAGTAACGAGCTATTAATAAACAACCCGGCTTGGACCGGGGGCCCAGGGGTCACTGCAGGGGACTGGGGGTCTCTGCAGCTGGGGCAGCTCCTGCAGGGTGTCCTGGGCTGGCAGGGACCTGCAGAGCCAGAGCCAACCTTGACTCCTGAGCTCGTATGGCCCTGGATTTGCCAGGAGGGGCTCACCCAGTACCTGTTAATCCCCTCTGTGGCGTTTGCTGAGGGTGTTGGGGCTGTGCCCAGCTCCACCAGAGCACCCACGGGTGCCAGGGCAGCCAGCAACAGCAACAACAAATGTTCCTCCTCCTGGGCTGGAGTCGTCCTCCTCCCAGGTAAAACTGCGAGAGCCATCGCCCAGCTCCACAGCTGTCGGCACAAGTTAGAGTTCCCACTGTTTTATGGATAACCAGGCGGTGACTGTCCATCCAACCCAGCAGGAACAGGTAAAACCACCCAAACAGAGGGCAGATAACTCCAGCAGCCAGGATTCCTGCCCCTGCAGTGGGGGTGCCTGGACCAAACATGGGACAGGGGTTGCCAGGGTGGCTGCGGAGCAGGAAGGTGAGCCCGGGGCTGCGGCTCCCGCTGCCCATCTGCCGGGAAAACAACTCCAGCAGCTCCATACCTTTGCTTAGAGGCTCGGGTGGCCGCAGTAGTAACCAAAAGTGGAGTCGGGTTACCCGGGGCTCATTCATAATGAACACGGGGCAGAGCTGGGCTGTGCTCGGCTGCCTCGGGCAGGGAGGGGAAGGGCAGAAACCCCCAGCCCCTGGCAGGGAGTGATGGGGGGCACAGTGGGGGAGACCCTCAGCCTGGCAGAGGCACCTGGGCACCTTTATTTATTTCAATAGAACAAAGAAGTGTCCCAGTAAACTGGGGAGGTTTTTCCTTGTGGGTTTGCCGGCCGTGCTCGGTCACATCCCGCCCGTCCGTGACACAGCAGGAGCAGAGCCTTGAGAACCAGGAGGACCCAGAGCCAGCTCAGGTTCCTGGGGCCACCAACCAGCACAAAGTGGCTTCTGGCACTGGAAGGCAGAGGTTGCCAAGCAGCTCCAGCCACATCCCCAGGGGACATTTGGGGTCCCCCAGTTGGATGGGGGGGTTGAGTGCAAGGAGTGAATCTGAGCAGTGCTGGGGAGAGGGGAAGGAGGGGCAGGGGCAGCAGGGGGGTCTCCAGTCCCACCCTACTGTCCCCAGCAAGGGAAGCCAGTGCTGTTAAATCCCCTCCCTGTGGTTGTGTGAAACGGTGACACTTCTCTGTTGGTTTGAGTTCGTTGGAAGAAAAAGGGAAGTGTGGCAAAATTAAGACGTGCACCAAAAAAAAAGAGTCATAGAATGATAGAATAGAATCGCTGAGGGTGGGAGATCCCTCCGAGATCCTCGAGTCCAACTGTTACCCCAGCACTGCCAAGGCCACCACTTGTCCCTCAGCCCCCCATGTCCATAGAAGATAATCTCCCGGGTTCCAAAATTGCACCAGGGAATGGGTTTGTTGCCAGAAATTGCTCTGCTTGGGTAATGGGATCAGGGCAGGAAATCATCCATGGAGATTGCATACTTCCTCTGTGAGCACAGAGAGGATCAATAATCCTCCTCAGCTCCCCAAGGCTGTTCCCAAGTGCCTTGGGCAATGCTTTTGGGCAATGAGGACATGCAGAGGCACCAAGATGGATTTGAACATGCAGCCACACCACGATGGCCTTGAGCAGCCACAGATGTCACATCCTCCCCACGTCCTGCTGAGTGATGGACACATTTGGGGGCCCTGATGTGCCCAGAGGGACAGAAGGGAGCATGTGAGGGAGGCTTGGGCTTGGTCTAGTGCTCCCCAGAGCCACAGCTTGGGCCTCCCTGAAGGGCTGAACCCAGCCTGGCTGCCCTGGGGGGCTGCACACCAGTTTGTCCCAGTGCTGTGGGAGTGATGGGACAAAGCCCCCCATACTGGGGGGGAGTCAATGCCCCACTCACTGCACCTCTATGGGGGTGGCTGGAGGTACCCCAACGTTCCCTTGCCAGGCCCAAAAACACCCCACGGTGCCCCGACCGAGCAGCTCTGCCACTTAATTAGGTTAATGGCCGTGTTTTGTTAAGGAGAGGCGGCTGAGGTGTTTGCGGCACTGGGAGATGCCTTTCCAGGCAGGCCGGCAGATTTGGGGCACGGGAGGGGACACGGGGTGGGAAAGGGGAAGCAAAGAAAAGGGAAAGCGGCGGCCAAGTGCTAATCCCTGGAAAGGGGGGCAGCGGGGGCACCGCGGCGTTAATCCCTCGGCGCAAAGATTGTGCCCGCGGCCGCCTTAATCCCCCCCGAGGGGGAAAGGGGTGTGGGGACAAGGGCCAGTCCCTACGTGCGACACCAAACGTCCCCGGTCCTGCGGGACCGCGCAGAGCCCGGGGCTGGGATTTGAGGCTTCCGAAAAGGCCCGTCCGAAGGTGGCTGGTGCTGGGCTTAGGAGGGAGAGAGGGGGCTTGGATTTGTGCCGCTGGATGAGAGGAGGGGATGGGGCATCCCACCCGTGTCACGAGTTTGCAAGGCCTCTGCCGGCATCTCTTTGATCCTGCACTGCCCGGGGGGTCTGTGCTGTCCCGGGGTGCTCTTTGCTCCTGCACTGCCCCGAGGGTCTGTGCCCCCATCACCCCGGGGTGCTCACAGTCCCCTGTGCCCGTGTGTGCCCCATCAGGGGAACAGAGCGGGGCGAGCCGGAGGCAGAGGCCGAGCTGTGGGTCTGCAGCTGTGGCTCCTCTGGCAAACCTCTCCCCTGCCTCCGTTTCCCTGTTCTCCTGAGAGGGTGTGCACAGTGAGACTCATTTACCCCAGGTTTGCACAGGGCATGATCACCGAGTCACACACTGGGTGCTGAGAAAAGGATCTGGAGGGTTTCCTGGGGGAACTGGGACCTTATCAGCCCATGGGCCATGGTTTGAGGACCACATGGGGGACCTGGGACCGTAGGACTCTTAGCCTGCACTGACTCCACGTGTCTCCCCTGGCAGGCTCCCAGGTGGATGGTAGTGAGCCCCTAGAGATGCTCCACACAATGACATGTTGGCTCCCAGTCCTGGCCCTGCACGTGGTCCTGCTGAGCCCCCCGTGGGTGGGATCCTGCCCCGCCCGCTGTGAGTGCGCCCCACACCTCAAATCCGTGGTGTGCCACCGCAAGCGCCTCACCTCCATCCCCGAGGGCATCCCCACCGAGACCAGGATCCTGGAGCTCAACAAGAACCGCATCCGCTGCCTCAACCCCGGGGACCTGTCCCCGTACCCGCTGCTGGAGGAGCTGGATTTCAGCGAGAACATCATCTCCAATGTGGAGCCCGGAGCCTTCAGCAACCTGTTCAACCTGCAGACCCTGCGGCTGCGGGGGAACCAGCTCAAGCTCATTCCCCCCGGGGTCTTCACCAAGCTGACCAACCTCACCCTCCTGGACATCAGCGAGAACAAGCTTGTCATCCTGCTGGACTACATGTTCCAGGACCTGCGGAACCTGAAGAGCCTGGAGGTGGGTGACAACGACCTGGTGTACATCTCCCAGCGTGCCTTCTCGGGGCTGCTGGGCCTGGAGCAGCTGACCATCGAGAAGTGCAACCTGACCTCCATCTCGGCCGAGTCGCTCTCCTACCTCCAGAACCTGGAGGTGCTGCGGCTCCGCCACCTCAGCATCTCTGCGCTGGAGGACCAGAACTTCAAGAAGCTCTACAACCTCCTGCAGCTGGAGATTGACAACTGGCCGCTGCTGGAAGAGGTCTCCCCCACCAGCTTCCAGGGACTGAACCTCACCTCGCTCTCCATCACCTACACCAACATCACGGCTGTGCCCGCCGCCGCCTTGAGGAACCTGGTGTACCTGCGGTACCTCAACCTGTCCTACAACCCCATTAGCACTGTGCTGAAGGGCTCCTTTAAGGACCTCATCCGGCTCCAGGAGCTCCACATCGTGGGTGCCCTCCTGGTGTCCGTGGAGCCGCAGGCTTTCTCCGGCCTGAGACAGATCCGGCTGCTCAACCTCTCCAGCAACTTCCTGTCCACGCTGGAGGAGAGCACCTTCCACTCGGTCAACACGCTGGAGACGCTGCGGGTGGACAGGAACCCCCTGGCCTGCGACTGCCGCCTCCTCTGGGTCCTGCAGCGGCGCAAGACGCTCAACTTCGACGGGCAGCAGCCCATGTGCTCCTCCCCGCCCGAGATCCAGGGCAACGCCCTGCGGGACTTCCCGGACTCAGTGCTCTTCGAGTACTTCACCTGCCAGAAGCCCAAGATCCGGGATCGGAAGCTGCAGCACGTGACGGCGCGGGAGGGCCAGTCCGTGTCCTTCCTGTGCCGGGCGGATGGGGAGCCCGACCCCTCCATCGCCTGGGTGTCCCCCCAGCACCGCATGATCACCACCCGCAGCACGGGCAGGGCCACGGTGCTGCCCGGGGGCACCCTGGAGATCCGCTTCGCCCAGGTGCAGGACAGCGGCACCTACATCTGCATCGCCAGCAACGCCGGCGGCAACGACACCTACTTCGCCACGCTGACGGTGAAGGGGCGCCCGGCCGACGGCGCCCACCGCGCCAACCGCACCCTGTACCTCAGCGACTTCAACGACACCTTCCACAACGACACCCAGGTCTTCTTGAAGTTTACCTTGGACCTCAAGACCATCCTGGTCTCCACGGCCATGGGCTGCATCACCTTCCTGGGCGTGGTGCTCTTCTGCTTCCTCCTGCTCTTCGTGTGGAGCCGTGGCCGGGGGCAGCACAAGAACAACTTCTCCGTGGAGTATTCCTTCCGCAAGGTGGACGGGCCCACCACCACCACGGGCCAGGGAGGGGCCAGGAAGTTCAACATGAAGATGATCTGAGGCTCTCCCGGAGGAGAAGCGTTGTCTGCTGCCCGGCCCCGGGTGCAGCCGTGGCGGGACGGGGCCGGGAGGAGTGTGGGAGCACCGCTGACATCCCGGGGCTGGCGGTGGGACAGGGCTGGAGACACACCAGAGGTGCCACAGGCCAGCAGGGGCGGAACTGGGTGGACCTCAGGGTCGGGGAGGGATGACCCCAGTGTCCCAGCCCTGCGGGGCCCTCGGCTCAGGGGCCATCCCAGCTCCAGGGGCTCCCAATGTAGCCGGAATTTTTGCTACCAACTATGCATTTCTCGAGCCAAAAGATCAGCAGCGTTTGGGCCCAGGAAAAAAAAACACTCCTGGTTTTTTTCCCCCTCTCCCTTTTTTTTTAAGAGACTCTTCAGAAAACTTTCCTGGTGGTTGTTTATGGTTCTTTTCTTGGTGTTGGTGGGTTTTTTGGTCCAATGATTTATTTTTTTTTAATGAATTTCCAAGAGAAAAGTCTTCCGGGGCGATGTGGGACTGGGGGCTCCGGGGGAGGTTGTGCCAAGCCAGGGTGTCTCTTCCAGCCCCTTGGCAAGGACAGACCCACCAGGGCACAGCTGTGCCTTGAGAGTTTCCCATCTGTTGGTTTAAGATGCAGCGTCTGCCAACGCAGGAGTCTGGGGATGCTCCTGCACAAGCAATAATAACCCACCCAGGGCCAGGCTCTCAGGAGGTGTCAGCGGGAAAAAAGGGACAAAAAAGGCAAAATGAGGCCAAGATCATTAAAATCAGGAGGAGCAGCCCCAGGGTGATGTGTTTGAATTTACCCAAGCCACTGTAGGAGTGGTGGGGTGAAAGGGTTGAGATTCCTGCAAAAGACACTTTTGGATCTGTTTTCTTTGGGTTGCAAAGTTGAAATCCATGGGAGAGCAGGACCTGGCTTGTCCTGTGCAGGGAGGCCCTTCAGCCTGGGAAAGAAAAGAAGGGAAAGGCTGGGAACAAGCAGTTCAGGGAGAACATCCTGGCTGGCACCTCCATCGTGTCCATGTGGATCCTGCACCCTCCGGTGCTGGAAGCAGCAGGGCGATGTCCCCGGGCCTGCCCGGGGGTGGGTCCTGCCTTCCCATCCCACCCTACACAGGTTTTGCCCTGGCTTTGCCTCTGGGCACAAGTTTTCAGGTGGGAGAAGGAGTAGAGCTGGCCCAGCTGGAAGGGAAGAGCCTGGATGTGGCCTGGACGATCCAGGGAGCCCATGGCTTCCTCCTCCTCCTCCTCCTCCTCCTCCTCCTCCTCTGTCTCCTCCCACGTGCACCCCAGGGGTTTGTTGCTGCAGGTCCCACCTCTGTCCCCATTCCTGCAGGCACGTCCCCCACCTGGATGACCCTTCTCCAGCCGGGAATGGTCAGGCTGGGAGCTGGAGGAGGCACCCCGGGGGATGCACCAGGGACAGGAGCACCCGAGGGGCTTTGCTTTGTGGGGCACAAGTGGCTGCTCAGAACGTCCCCCACACCCTGGGTGCCCCCCAGCCCCGAGGGGGGAGAGGGGCAGCCCCCAGCCCTCCTCCCTGAGGGGCTCCCCGGGCTGCTCCCACCTCTGTGGCACTGCCAGGATCCAGCCCCAACAGGGTGGGGATGGTGCCCATCCCTCCCCATCCATCCCTCCATCCCTCCCTCCCCTGGCAGCCCCCGCATGCCCGGTGCCCCCGGCTCCCCGAGCCGTGCATGCCGTGTCCTACTGGGGTCCCACCGGGGTCCTACTGGGGTCCCACTGGGGTCCCACCAGCCCCCCCCGTTTGGTGTCTGGATGGGATTTTTTACCTGGGGGGGTGGGTGTGTGGGGAGGGAGTGGGGCACAGACCCTCACAGAGGGAGCAAAGGCGGGTTTGGGCAGTGCAGACCTGGCCCAGTTTTATATGTAACGAGCATGTGAAATGTATTTGTGAGCAAAAAAAAAAAAAAAACTAAAAAAAAGGGACTTTTGTGGCTCGTTTGGTTTTTTCCCCCTTTTCTCCCTCATGGGCCTCAATAAGAAAAGACAAAATCAGGGGGCAAACCCCTGGAAATGGTAGGACCACCTGCACCACGAGCAGGATTCGTGCCTTTGTGCTCTCCAGACCTGCTCCAGCCCGGGAAGCCCCAGGATTCCAGCAGACCTTCCCCCCCAGGGCTCTGCTGGGATTTGCAGCCCTTCAGCCCCTCAACCCCACAAACCCCATAATAAACAATGCTGAACCACCTCTCAGAGGGTACCAAAGCCCATATTAATAACTAATAAATGATTAATGCACGTGTGTTAACCAACTGCCACTGCTATTAATCTGCTTTTAGTTATTGATGGGTGTTCATAAGGACGCACCTGAACATTGACAGCATCACAAACGACTGGGACGCAGCTCTGGAAGGGACACGGAGCACGGGTGCAGGTGACCCACAATTGGGAGGAACTGCTGAGTCCCCCGAGGGCAGGGAGGGCCTGCAGAGAGACCTGGACAGATCCCAGGGCTGGGAATCACCAACCATGGGAAGTTCAACATGGGGAAGTGCAGGAATTCTGCCCCTGGGATGGGGCAACCCCGCATGGACGGACTGGGAATGAGAGGCTGGAAAGCAGTGCTGGGAAAGGGCCCTGGGGGTCCTGGTGGGTGCCAGTTGTCCCTGAGTCAGCAGTGCCCTGGCAGCCAGGAGGGACAACCCTGTCCTGGGGGCATCAGGGAGGGGATTGTCCCGCTCTGCTCTGCCCTGGGGCGGCCTCACCTCAACATTGGGGCAGTTTGGGGGGACACAATGGAAGGAAGAGATTGAGCCATTGGAGAGTGTCCAAAGGAGGGAAGGAGGATGGGGAAGGGCCTTGATTTGAAGCCATGTGAGGACACTGAGGGCACTTGGTGTGTTCAGCTGGAGCAGAGACTGAGGGGAGACCTCAGTGCAGTTCCACTTCCTGGGCAGGGGCAGAGGAGGGGCAGGGACTGAGCTCTGCTCTGGGGGACCAGGGACAGCACCCAGGGAATGGCTGGAGCTGTGTCAGGGCAGGCTCAGGTTGGATCTCAGGCAAAGGTTCTTCCCCCAGAGGCTGGTTGGGCACTGCCCAGGCTCCCCAGGGCAGTGGGCACAGCCCCAAGGCTGCCAGAGCTCCAGGAGGGTTTGGATGATCCTCTGGGGCACAGGGGGTGACTCTTGGGGTTGGGTCCGTGCAGGACCAGGAGTTGGATTCAATGATCCTTGTGAGTCCCTTCCAACTCAGCCTATTCCGTGATTCTGTGACTCTGAGGTGGTTCCTCTTCTACTCCTAAAGTGACCCCCTTGGTCCCCTTTCCCGTCCCACCAGCCCCAGGACCAGCCTGACCCCACACAAGGCCATCCCAGCCCTTGGTTGAGCTGCCATCACTGTCCCCACGAGGCCAAGGCCACCCCGGTGTCCCTTGCCCCTGGCTGGGGCCCCCCTGTCCTTGTGTCCCCCACAAAGGGGCCGCTGCACCTCCCCCAATCCCACCGTGTCCCTCTGCCAGGCTCGGTGCCCGCCCTGCTCCCGTGCCAGCCCCGGCTTTCCCGGCCTGGACTGGCACTGGGAGGCTGTGGGGTGGTGGAAGCAAAGCAATGCCTCCATCTGCTGGAGAAAAGGGCCCTGGGCCAGTTCCAGCCTCTTCCCCCCAAAATTCCATCCCCCACTGCTCCCCGGGGCCGGGGAGGCTCCCAGCACCCACCTCACGGGCAGAGGGAGGGTGGCCTTGGTTGCAAAATGAGCAGGATGCTGCAGCCCCCACAGGCTGGGCAGGAGAGAAAAGAGGAAATTGGGGTTTTTGCTCCTTTCTTGCTTGTGCCCAGGAGGTGAAGGGTTGGGGTTACAGTTCATGCCTGTGCCCAAGGGTTTGGGGGCACCGTGGCCTCGGGGACACCCTTGGGAGTTAGGACTCACTCCTTCAGCAGTTTTTGGGAATGAGCTGCCAGGATGGAAGATGCTGAGATGGTTTCAGTGCCCACAGTGCCCACACAGCCCAGCAGTGCCACAGGGATCACCCTGAACCGGGCACGGAGCATCCCCACAGCAGCCATGGGTTGGGAATAATGTCATGGAAACAACCACCACAAGATAAAGGTCATTAGGAAAATACAGTTTTCCAGCCGGTGCCTTTAAAGGTCCTATTTCCCTCTGGGAAGAGAAACCAATTTCCTTAGGAATCAAAGAGTCTGTGGTTCCCTGTGAGGGTGGGCAGGCCCTGGCCCAAGTTGCCCAGGGAAGCTGTGGTTGCCCCATCCCTGGGAGTGTCCAAGGCCAGGTTGGATGATGCTCCGTTCCCCACTTCCCATCCTGGTTTATGTTGTCAGCAAAGGCTGCACAGGGAAACCCAGTAAGTCACCCTTAATTCTCATCCATGTTTTTTGAAGGCAGATGCTGCCAAGGAAAGCAGCATTTTTCATAAGTTTCATAAAATACCTTGGTTTGTGGGGTTTTATGGGGTTTTCCCCTCAGTCAAACCCAGCAGAATCACCATGAGCACGAGGAACTGGATGATCACAGAATCATGGAATGGTTTGGGTTGGTAAGTGCCATTCTGTGGGAACTGATTCCCACCCCACCCCTGGAAGTGTCCAAGGCCAGGTTGGATGGGGCTTGGAGCACCCTGGGCACCTTGGAGCACCATGGCAGAGGGTGGAGCTGGATGGGCTTTAAGGTCCTTCCCACCCAACCCATCCTGTGACTCTGTGCTTTGCTGCTGCTCAGAGCAGTTTGTGTCACTGTCATGGACATAAATGACACACAAACACTGACTCCCTTGCTGACCACCATCAATAAGCCCCAAATCCTCCTGGATCTTAAATGTTCCACTTCTTCATTTTTACAGCATTTTAGCCCTGGGTGAGGTGTTGAGGGAGCAGCACCAAGCCAAGCCTCGCTGCCAGGCAGGGTGGGCTGCAGCCCCTGGGCACCCTGGAAAGGTGCTGGCAACCACCTGGGGTGGATGGTGCAGGAACCATCCAAGTTGGCATCTCCCAGAGTCCTGCACACCCTCCTGAGCTGGTGCCAGATTCAAGGATGACTCAGCCCCCACATGGATTTTTATCAGCTCTAACACACGGTCTGGGCTTCACAGAAACGGCCCCTGGCCAAGGGCCAACAGGCACAACCTCCCCGTTTGCTTGGGGTCGGTTGGGAAATGGGGGTTGGAAAATAAAAATAAAGACATGGGGGAGAAACCCTGGAGGAGGGTGGTCTCCTCCTGCAGGCTCACAGCACCCACCAAGGCCCACCCCGGGCCCCCAGAGCCCTGGAGAGGTGCCCAGTCCCAGGGCTGTGTGGTCAGGCTCCAACCGTGAAAACATGGTGGATAAATCCACTTTCTTCATGGAATCCTCATCCCCTAAATCCTCATCCCAGCCTCGCTGCTCCCGGGGGAAATCCCTGCAGTTGGTTTCCCAGGAAGGGGCTCACCCACCCCCCACCCCACAGTGGCACCACTGACGAGGGCCATCAGTGAGTCACTCATTATTCCGAAGACTGAATAGAAGGGAGGAAATATCAAAATATTCTGAGGTTTAGAAGGTTAAAAAGGTGACTTTATCCCAGAGGGGACAGGCAGCAATGGGAGGAGTTTTTCCAGCAGCTGAGCTGGGTCATTCATGCTCTCTGAGCACCTGTAATGTTCTGGAGACCAAAAAATGTGTTTTCTAAGGACTGAGCTCCTCTGGTTCAGCAGCTGCAGGAAATCCCAGCAAAAACGTGGAAGAACACAAAACAATTCCACCTTGAAAACACAACCTAGAGAGAAGGGAATTAATTATGCGACCTGGAAAGTTTTTATGGTGGGAATCCCTCTTTCAACACAACTGCCATCCATGAAGTCACCTCCAAAGCCATCTCTAAAGCCATCCATGAAGGAGGAGGAGTGTGAAGCTCCACGAGCAGCTTGAGGGACACAAATCCAGTGCCCCAAATGGATGGACCAAAGGTGACAGAACAGCCACAGCCATGACCGGAGCCTCCACTGGCAGCACATGGAGCGATGCCAGGGCTGCTGGGGGGCTCAGGGGGCTCAGGGGGCTCCAGGGAGTGAGGCCCAACCTCCAGCTTCCTTTAGACGTGCAAGAAGCAGGTTTTGAAAGAACATCCTCCCACAGAGGGGGTGCAGAGAGTTGCTCAAGGGCAGCAGCGCCATGGCCGGAGCCCGGCAAGCCCGGGATGGGCAGTGGGAGCTGCTGCGGATCCGGGACGTGGAGTTGGAGCCCCCCAGGCCTCCGTTGCTGCCAGGGAATACTGAGAGGTATCAAACTGCCAGGGAAAACTCCGAGGTAACAAACTGCTCTGCAAACGGGGCCCGGGCAGGAGCTTCCCGGCAGCACCACGGGCACGGCTGCTCCAGGGCAATGATCCAGGGTCCGAGGGGTTCAGGGGGTCTGAGGGGGGCACGGCCTGGGATTGCTCAGCAGGGGCTGTCCCAGCAGAAGGAGCAGGTTTAGAGGAAGCCGCGGCGGTTTCGGTGCCGTTGGGGGCAGCAGAGTCAGCGCCGGCCGGGACGGGGAAGCGAAAGCAGCGGCTCCGTCCCACGGCCCTCCTCCTCCCCGGGGCTCTGCCCTCTCCCTCCCCGCACACAGACCCCCGTCCTGCCCCCCCGAGCCTGCCTGGGGGTGACAAAGGCTTTTCCTGCTCTTGTTCCACACCTCTCCCACCGTCCTGTCCTCCTCGGGGTCACCCGACAGGTCCCCCAGGGCAGACTCCAGTCCCTGCACCCACCGGGATGTCACTCAGTACACGGGGAGCCCCCGAAGCAGCTCCCACCCCCGGCACCCCCCGAGCAGCGACGGGAGTCACTGTGCCACCAAACTCGCTGTGTTTTGCCCCAAAACCCCACCACCAACCCCCCCAGGCCGCTGCTTCCCCTTTTCTCTTTATCCTTCCTGTGAGCCGGCACGGAAAGGAGTCGGAACCCCCCCGGGGGTGACACCGATCCCGGCTCCCTGCAGGGCCAGAGGCCATTCCCGCTGTGCCAGCCTGGACCTGCGTGCCCCCGGAGCGCCCACCCCCATGGGGGACACCCCGCCCCGGCCCCCCGACCCAGCCCTCATCTACAGCAACGTGGGTGAGTGACATCCCGACCCCGCTGTCCCCCTGCCCGCCGCGGTGTCACCTCGGACGGGGGGGATGGAGCCACTGCTGTCCCCGTCCTCCCCCGCGGTACCCGGTGACCCCTCCGGTGCTGGGGCTGGAAATATCCAGGGGGGCAAAGAACGACGTGTTTGTATTCCCATCCTGCTCCCACTTTCTTCTCCTCTGTCACGTCTGTTCCTCCCTCCCCAGGAGAGCTGCGGGCCCACCTCACCCCCCCCAAGGCGAGCCGAGGGGAAGGAGCTGGGAGATCCCTCTCTCAGCCCAACCAGGAGCCGCTGCCTCCCCCACTGCCCAAAAAGCAGCTCCAGCGAGCAGAGTCCCTCCCGGAGCAGGGACCATCCCACCACTGCCAGGGTGACCCCACACCGTGGGCCGGCAGCGTCCTCTACAGCGTCCCATCCCACCTGCGGCGCGAGGAGGGGGCTCCCAGCTCCACCTCCCGTCGGGACAGACCCTCCTGCGGACCCAAGAAGCCCCTGACCAAGTCCCAGAGCCTGGGGGAAGCGGTGGCCTGGAGCAGCCCCCAGGAAGGCCCATCCCCCAGGCAGAGGGAGCTGACCTTCGGGACGGCAGACGGGGAGCTGGGGCAGCTCCTGCCCGGCCCGGCCGGGCTCTGTGGGGTGCTCTTGGCGTGCCAGGCAGGCACCTTGGCCCGGCTCTCGGCTCGGATCCAGGAGGAGCTGGTGGGGCTGGAGGAGCAGCTGCAGCTGCTGGAGGCAGAGCTGGTGGGGAAGCGCTGGGGAGCCCTGAGGATCCTGGAGCCGGAGCCGTGCTGTGAGAGCGGGGACGCCTGGTACTTCAGGGTGGGCTTCACCTTCGGGCAGACCCAGCTGGAGCTGGCAGCCAAGGTAAGGAGGGAGTTGGTAAAATGCCCCTGGGTGGTGCAGAGGGAGATGGCTCCTGCCCCATCATGCAGCAGCTTCCCCTTTCTGCACCTACTTCTGCATTTGCTGAAGGAGACAGTGCTGCTGGCAGGGGTGACAAGGGTGACACTCCCATGGGTGACGCTGCCACGGGCCCAAGGAGAATGGCGCTGCTGGGGAACATGTCCTGGCAAGTTGTCCAGAGGGGCCAGTGTATACAAAGGAGAGGCTGGAGCAGGGCTGGCTGCTCTGGAGTGCAGGATGAGACCCATCCAAGCAGCTCTGCAGCTCTCCTGGGGGGCTACTCCATCCCCCCCTCATGTCCCAGTTCTTGCTCAAAGCCACTCTGGCTCTGCCAGTGGGTTCAAAGGGTGGCCCTTAGCTGCTGAGGTGGCCCACCCCATGGCTCTCTCCCGGCACAGCTGGCCATGTCCTTCTGTCCCTGTAGGTCCCCAAGCCGTGCTGCTCCAGCCTGGGGGTGCAGAGCTCCCTGGGGACACACTGCAGCATCCAACGCCCGCTCGGCCGCTTCACCGACCACCTTCCCTGGAAGCTGCTGCTCCCAGGAAACCCTGGAGAGCAGAGCCAGTCCTCTTCCAGACAGGAACCTCCCTGTCCTGCCACCCACCCTGTCCTGCAGGTGCTCATTTGTGCTGAGGTTCCCCACCAGACCCTGGCAGACTTCGTGAAGGGATCCCAGGGGTTGCACAGGACCAGCCCTGGGCACTACGAACGCCTGGGCTGCCTCCTGCTCCTGCAGCTGTGCCTGGGGCTGGAGCACCTTCAGGGGCAGAACGGGGGGCAAGGGGACCTCAGCCCTGAGAACCTGCTGCTGGTGCAGTGCCCATATCCTCCTGGGAGCCAGCAAGGCAAGAAGGAGCCCCTGGGACTGTCCCTCCCCCGGCTGCTCATCAGCAGCTTCTTCAAGGCCAAAGAGAAGCGAAGACCTTGTTCCACCAGCCAAGAGCAGGACTGGACCAAGGGCCTGGCTGCACCCAGCGCCCCAGCAGCAGATGAGCTGAAGCTGGGCAGGCTGATCTATCAGATCCTGCACGTGGACATCTCTCTGGAGGACACCCTGGGCTTCAGAAGCAACAGGCTTCCCGAAATCCCCTCCCTGTCCATCTACTCCGCGGGACTCCGGCGCGTGGCCGCGCTGCTCCTCCACAGAGATCCCTCCAGGAGGATCTCCATCCCCCAGGCCAGGAGAATCCTGCAGGTCCTGCTCTGGGGGCCACGCCAGGAGCTCTTTGCCAGGAGCAGGAAGACCCTCCCACTGCTCCAGAGCTGGGTGGAGGTGAAAAGGGCTCTGCTGCTCCTGAGGTTTGCGGAGAATTCGGCCGGGGCAGGGGGCAGACCTGGCCTTGAGGAGTGGCTGTGCTGCCAGTACTTCCAGGAGGTCACTGAACACACCCTCTACCAAGTCACCCAGGATCTCTATGCTCCCTAAAGCCGAGCTCAAGTTCAGCCCACCCAGAGGTCTCCTCAAGGCCAAGAGCCCAGTGGCCAAATCTGTCCCTGCCCATGGCGGGGAGGGGGCAAACTAGATGGTCTTTAGGGTTCCTTCCAACCCAAACCATTCCATGATTCTGTGAAATCCACCAGCTCCTGAGGAACCCAGCTTTCACTGGGAAAACTGCAAATCCAAACCCACTTCCCCCACAGCTCATGAATGGGGGAGTTGGGACCAAGCTCACACACGGAGGGGGTGCTTTTACACCCTCACATGATTTTTGGTTGATGCTCTGAGTCTGGTTTATTGGAGCATCTCAAGAAACAGGGCTGGATGGGAGCCCCAAGCACCAATTTAGTGGCTGATTCTCCCGAGTAAAGTTTCTAAGGTTCAGAATTTGCACAAAACCCCCTCAGCCCCCTCCTGTGGCCAGAGGCTTTTGCTGTTTTCAGTAACACTCAAAGCCACACTTCAAAACTTAAATGCACCCTCAGCAAAGGAGGAACACAGCAGCTCCCATGGCCTGAACCTCTCAGAAACAATTTGTGGCAAAGTCACAAATAAAAATGACATTTTGAAGGGGGAAATGCAGCAGTCACACAGCTTCAATAAAACCTGGAGCTGAGCCTCTTAAACACTGGGCCTTTATGTGCTTCTTTGACAGCATTACACACTCCAGCGATGGATCCAGAGGGAAACAAAGCCAAACTTCCCTGCCCGGGGGTGTTTAGCCAGCACGGCCTCAATGGTGTCCAGTAAATAGCTCAGGTGAGTTTATGGGCAACAAGATCCATCTGCTCCTTACTGTGACACACCACGTGGGACCTGCACCCCGGTCCCCAAACCCCTGTGGATGCTGAGGGACCATCAAGGCCCTGCTCAGGTCATTAAAATTATTACTCAGTAATTATTAATCCGCTCACAGCCATCTAGAGTGGATATTAGGGAAAATGTCTTCACTACAAGGGAGGTCAGGCACTGAACAGGCTGCCCAGGGCAGTGGTGGAGTCACCACCCCTGAGTGTTCAAAAAACACGTGGATGTTTTGGGGACGTGGGTTAGTGGTGCCTTGGCAGTGCTGGGGGAGCGGCTGGGGTTTGATCTTAGAGGGCTGTTCCAACCCAAGCAATTCCAGAATTCTGCGGCTCCAAGGCCTGCCAGCAGCAGGAGCAGCCTGTGCACACAGCCAGCCCCGGGCAGCCCTGCTGTGCCCACGGCCACCCAAACCCCACAGCAGCCTCCTCGCCAAGGCTGCACCACCCAAACCCTGGCACAGGCACCACCCAAGCACAGAAATGGGGTTTGAATTCCATTATGGGATTTTGGGTGCCCTGCTGACCCCCCCCTCCTGTAGTATCTGTCTTGGCTACGAGATGGCAGCACAGCCCATGGCATGGCAGCAGCTCCCCAAACACGGGCATCTCCTCCTGGACAGACAAAATCTGCTTCTGCAGCCCAGGCTGGCAGCTCTGAGCACCTCCTGCACCCCTGCTCTGGTTTCCAGCTTGGGTGACCCCCTCCCCTCCTGCCAGGGGCAGCTGGGAGCACCCAAGATCAGCTGAACATCTCCAGGGGACTGTGATGTTTAAGGGAGGAGCACAAACATCTCCCAGGGGAGAGTAAAACATGGCACAGGCTGAGGAAAACAGGAATTTTTCCAGACGACCAGGTTAGGGAGGTCAGTCTTTTGCCACCACAGGAGGGACAACCACCCTTGGTCACAGCACCTTATCCTGGAATCTTCTGAGTGGGAAAGGATCCCCAAGGATCACCAGTCCAACCCCTGGCCCTGCACAGACACCCCAACAATCCCACCCTGTCCCTCAGAGCGTTGTCCAAACGCTCCTGGAGCTCTGGCAGCCTTGGGGCCGTGCCCACTGCCCTGGGGAGCCTGGGGGGAAAACATTCCTGATACCCATCCCAAACCTCCCCTGACTGTTCAGGCTGTTTTGTCAAGTCCTGTCACTGGCTTTCCAAAAATCCCTATAGGAGGAGCACGATTGTAAGGCCAGAAGAGAATTGGGAAGAGACCTGTGGGGAAGAGACCCCAGTTTGAAATCCACTGAGAACCCCAACCTTGCACCACAATCACTGATCACTCCTCCTACCTCAACATCCACTCCCTGATGCATCTCCAAGCTGTTTCATGGAATATTTTGGTGTATTCCACACAATTCCAGGACTTCCAAGCCCAGATCACCCAAGGGATGGCCTGTGGGGTCACAGCATTCCTTGTTCCCAAAGCTCAGTTCTTTACAGACTTATGTAACTTCCACTCAATGATAATTGATAATTTTGGTCATTTAATAATTCCCAGCCCAAGTTCTGCTAATTCCAGCACCACAATGAGCCATTTTCCCTTCTGCTCACCATCCTAAACACCAGCAGGTGACTGTGGACCCCAGCAACAGCCCCTCTCCTCACCCCTCAACCACAATCTGCCCCCCAAGAAGAGTTCTGGGGCCTGCCCAGCCTCAGTGACACTGCTGAGCTGCACCAGTGCCACCACCCTCCCTAAATCACCACCAAAACACTCCTCAAGCCCCCCTGCCCAGCCAACACCGTCCACTGTTACTGGGAACACTGAAATTACAGATATTTAAGTTGTATATTTGATATTCAAAGCAGCCCTGAGCTTCTCTCACATTCCACTTGTGACTTCCCAACCAACTCATGCCCTAAGGATCCCAAAAACCCTAGCAGAGATCCCAATTACCAGTGGGAATGGCCAAGCTGCTAATTATTCATTTTTCCAGGATTGCTAGATTATTCTAAGCCCTGGCAGAGTACATCCATGAGTTCCAGTCAAGCAAAGAACAAGCAAAGCCTTTCCACACCTGCAACTTTAATGGTTGGGGCAGTTCCAGAGCCACCTCTTCAAGAGTGCAAGTCTTTTTAAACAGCTTAAAACCAGCGATAAAAAGTAAAATATAAATTTTTATTTAGAATTAAAGCAAATACTTCAGTATCACAAACACAATATTAAACTTCAAGAAATATACTGCTAATTTGGAGGGAGCATTTATTTTTTTGCACAACCATGCACACAAAAAAAAAAAATCCAGAGAAAAGATGTGGAGCCTGAAATTTTCAACACCTCACCACCAAAAAAAGAAAGCAGCTGGGTCACAACGTTTCGTACAGAGTTATATAGACTGGAATAAGATGTTGACAAAATTTCTACAGAATCATCTTTATAGACAACAAGAAAGCTCTAAAGAGGCAAACATTGCAATCTAGTCTTCTTCTGCTGAGTCTCTCTCAAACGTGTAGGCCATGAAGCAAGCGTCTGGTCTCTTGGGGACAAGGGGATGCCCTGGTCTCACAATCTCAAAGCCCAAAAAGCTGAAAGTACGGAGCAATGCAGCTACAAAACAAAGCAGGAGACAAGTTTCATCCATGTGGTACTGCCCCACCACCAAACCCCACGGGAGAGCTGCCCAGAACACCCACCTCTGTCATCCCTGTTCTTGTGGAAACAAATGAACACGTGCTCCACTCGAAGCTGTTCTTCAGCAAATTCCAGAAGAACTGCAAAACTGAGGGAGAAACGCAAGGTGTGAGTGCACAGGGAATGTCCTGAGGGATTGGAAGGGACACACAAGGATGGAGTCCAGCTCCTGGCCCTGCACAGCCCAACAATCCCAGCCTGTGCCTGAGTGCTGTCCAAATGGTCCCTGAGCTCTGGCAGGGCTGGCACCGGAAGCAAGAGCTTCCTTCAGAGATAGTGAGCCAATCCACACAGGAATTCCTAAGGAAGAGGCATGGCTTGGAGCCTCCCACCAACAGGAGATCCCTGAGCCCCAGGCTGACCTTCAGGGCAGAAATCTAAGTCTTACTGACACAGAAAACGTGTTCTCTGTTGCAGCTGAAGGAGGAGCTGCAGTGACAAACTCTGAGCCAGGCTGGAGTTCCCAGTGGATAAAACAGCCCAAAATCCCAGACAGTGGGATCCCAAATCCCAGGTGGTTCTGCCTGCAGCTCAAACCAGGACCACTGAGCTGCAGCCTCTCACAGGACAACATCCAGCACCATAATTTACGCTTCAGCTTTCAGAACATAAAGAGTTATTCCACCCCACTGCCAAGATAGGAGTTAATCCTGAATTTTCCCTCACCTGTCCTTGCTCCCCTCAGGCAGAGCACCACTGGGAATTTCTATGTAGAGGTTGTTGTTGTTCAGCACTGCTCTCCAACTAATGTGTTTGGCATCTGTAAGCCTTGACTGGACATTGAGAATTCTTGTCCTGTTGTTAGATGTTAGTTCTTCTGTTACATTCAGCCGATTATCCTGGAAGTAAAAAGTGCAGGGTTATTTCTCCCATTCTTTCTGGAGAAGAGATAACTCCCATTTAATAAGACTGAGGCAAGCAATGCATCCAAAAAGCTGTTTCTGCTCCTCATACTCACCGAGTAAAATAAATTAGCTGAAAGATTGTGATCCCTCTGACTATTCCCTCGCCCACCTGGGATCTTCAGGGGTGGGTGAGGGACATCAGGAGCACCACCGAGGCCCCGGACCCAGGTTACTACAGCAATTGAAGGGAACCCTGGAACTGGAGAGGGACCACAGTTAGACAGGGACGGACAAAGGATTTACACAGTGATCAGACGGCAAGATTTAAATAAATAAACCAAGCCTAGGCCAAGGGGCTCCTCCCACTGCATCCCCAGCAAATGGGAGGACAAAGGAGCCTCCAGACCAGGGGCAGGAATTGCTTCATGCCCACAAAGCTGCTCCTGCAGTTCACTGAGGGAAAGACCAACTCAGAGAGGAGAAATTCTGCCGTGAGCCAGGTGTGTTTGTGCCCCAGGACAGGCCTGACCTATCTCAGAAGGGCCATTCTGCAGCAATGTGCTGTTTTTCCCCTCACCTTGCCCTCACTCAACACAAACCCTGGCTGTTTTTTCCCTGGGATATCCAGCCCTAATTACCTCAGCCCTTCCCACCAGCACTCCCAGCTCGAGCTCAGGCAATTCCATGAAATATTTCAAGTAGGGACATCTGTGAGATTATTTCCACCACACTCGGGAGCTTGAGCTGAGCCCACACCTGAACAGCTGCAAACCTCCAAAACCAGCCCCAAAGCCCTTCCCACTGAACTCCTGGGAGCGAGGCTGCAGAGCTCGGGGCTCCGGGATCAAAAACATCAAGTCTGGGGAGTGTGAAGGTTATTTTTAAGTTTCTGCCCATCCTCTGGAGCCCGTTTAACTCCTCCCGTGGCAGAGCAGAGCTGGCCCCTCCCTCTGCACCATCCTTCACCCGCAGGCTCAACTCTTGAGTTGCGTCATCTCAGCAGATGCAGCAATCGAGGCCCTTGGGGAGATTTTCACAATCGTCCTGTCTCGAGTGCCAGGAGCCACTGCAGCCATTTGCAAATCCGAATAAACAGCTCCAAAATAATCCTCCATTTTGCACCCCTAGCACGGCACTTTCAGCGATTTTGGGTGGGTTTTTTTCTTTTAAGGAGCTTGAAACTTGTGATGAATAATCCGTATTAGAAAGGCTGGGAATGAGCAGAGAGGGTAAATATGTGCTGGAAGGTAACTTATATATATAAAAATTATATATATATATCAATTATTTTTTTATTAAAAATGTATATTTTAAACTTTACGTTTATTTAAGATATTTATTTTCTATTTTGTATATTTTAAATACAAATTTCAACTTTATGTTTATATATTCCTTTAATATATTCATTTAAAATATAAATTTTAACTTTATATGTTTTACGCATATTTCTTTAAAACATACATTTTTAACTTTGCTCTTTATATGTTTATTTTACGCATATTATTTTAGATATTTATTTAAAATATAAATTTTAACTTTATATTTCTATTTATTTTACGTATGTTTATTTTAAAAATTTGTTTAAAATATAAATTTTAAGTTTATAATTTTATATTTATTTTACGTGTATTTATTTAAAATATAAATTCTAACTTTATTTATATATTTATTTTACGCATGTTTATTTTATATATTTATTTTAAACAATTTTTTAACTTTGCTATTCATTTATTTATGTATCTTTATTTTAATATATGAAATTTTAACTTTATATATTTATTCAGTATCTTTATGTATTTTAAACTGTAAAATTTTAACTTTATTTCATATATTTACATATATTTATTTAAAATCTAAAATTTCATTTTTTTTAATGGAACCAGTGTTCAATTTTAGGCTGTTTGAAAGCCATTTTTCTTTAGTACTAGCGTTATGTATTTTATATCACAATGATTGTAAATTATACATCCCTGATCTCCCTTACAAATAAACCTTTAAACACCCTTTTCAGGAGGGTGCAGTGGCAATCCCTGTCACAATTTCACCTTTCTCCCCCATAAAATGTGGTGCAAAATAAAGGTTTCCAGCCACGAATATATTTTGGAGTGATGTTTACATGCATTTACGTCCCTTGAGAAATAAAAAAATCATCTTTGTACCGCAGTCAAGTATAAAAACGGCTAAAAATCTCCTTTCACAGCCCACACAGGAGGTGTAAAGGGCAGATCGGAGCCCTGAGCACCCCCCACTTGAGATATTTTCTTTTCTCCCAGCACCTGTGCGGGCTCTTTAATCTTTCCGGTGAGTTTTTCACCACCAGTTGTAACACTCTTACCCTCGATTAGTTCTCCGGAGTGTCCACGGTTACATAAGGGGATAAACACCCTTCAATCGTTCCGTATCTTTGCCTAATTATTGCCTTTCCCCCCCCCGCAGCCGCGCTGGTGTCCCCGGTGCCCTCAGGGGTGCCGAGATATCCCCAGGGAGCTCAAAGCCCCCTTTTTCTGGTGGTTTTTTTCCACTCTCCCCTCACGCCTTTCCCCACAGGGCGGGGGCCAGGCCGCCCCTCCCCCGCTGCCCACGGGCCTCCCCCACACCCTCCGCGGCCACCGGGGAGGTGACCGGGCACGGGGACAACGAGGAGGAGGAGGAAGGAGGCAGCGAGCGCCCGGCGGGTGCGGAGGCTGAAGGAGGCCGCGGCCCCTCACCTGCTCTGTCCGGTACTGAGGCTCAGCACAGCGGGCATGATGGTGCTTTTATTCCCCTCTTTCTCTCTAGCGAAGCAGTGGCTGTTGAGTATCCGTTGCAGGGAGGATTTCACCATCCGGCCGCTCTGGTCCGAACCCCGAAACCCTCCGCCGCCTCCGCCGCCGCTCCCCAGGCGCTGCTACACAAAATGGCACCGCGGCCGAAGTGGTTCCTTATATACCCTCTTACGCCACGCCCCCCGCTGAGAGCTCGCCCCTCTGCGCGAGACACGCCCCCAAAGAGAAAGCGATTTCATTGAGCAGCGCGGGTATCAATCAGAAAATACCGCTTTCTATTGGCTGAAGGGAGAGTGGGGGCGGGACCGTGAGCACGGGTTAGCAGGGGAGGCGGGGGGTAGCGGCGTGTTGTGATTGGCTGCGCTCGCCGCGGGTGGGCGGGGCCCGGCGGGGCTCGGACAGCGGGCGCCTCGCAGCCCTCACTGCCCCTGGAGCCGCCGGTTCGAGTCCCGCGCCCGCGCCCCGCCCGGCTGAGGTAACCAGGGGGCCAAGGTGGGAGGGAGGACAGGGGTGGAGACTTGGAACGACTTGGAACGACCTGGAGAGACAGGGAGGGACGTGGGGGCTTCGCACGGTGCAGCCCCGGGGGTGCAGGGGCGGCAGCGGGACCCCCCTGAGGGCAGCCCGGGGGCACCGCCGCCCTCCCCGCTGGGCACGAAGCTCGACGCTGAGGGAAACTTCAGTTAAAAAACAGTAATGAAACGCCTCGAGTAGTGCGAAAGGTCCTAATAAGGACGGGTTGGGATCTGGTCTTGGGATGTGTTTGGGTTGTGGTCGTGCTCTGGCCTCTCCTGGTTCCCTTTGGACCGGCTGGTGGTTTATGGATTTATAGTGGAATAGGGGTGGGGAATGGGTTGGTTTATGGATTAATAGGGGAGTGGGGATGGGGAATGGTTGGTTCATGGTTCTATAGGGGAGTGGGGATGGGGAATGTTGATTTATAGTGCAATAGGGATGGGGAATAGTTTATGGATTAATAGGGGAATAGGGATGGAAAACAGTTGGTTTATGGATTTATAGGAGAATAGGGATGGGAAACCGTTGATTTGTGGATTTATGGTAGAATAGGAATGGGGAATGGTTGGTTTATGGATTTGTAGCAGAATAGTTGGTTTATGGAATTACGGGGAAATAGGGATGGGGGATGGCTAGTTTATGGATTTACAGGGGAACAGGGATGGGGAATGGGCATGAGGAATAGTTGGTTTATGGATTTATAGGGGAACAGGGATGGGGAATGGTTGGTAGTGATGATCTTTTAAACTAAAAAGGCTTTTTGCTGTGCTTGGTGAGGAAGTGGGTAAATCCTGGTTATTTACACAGCAGAACTTGGGCTCACACCCAGAACAAACATCTCCTGCCCTCTGCTTTCCATCTCCTGCCAGGAGTGTTGGAAATCCAAGGTTTGGGGACGTGGTTGGGTCTCTCTGCAGCCCCACAGCAAGAACAGCCCGGAGGAAAAGATGGGAATTTGGAAACGGGGCACCTCGCCTGGATGGGATTGATGGAAATGCACCTTCATCCCTTCAGGGTGAGGGTCAGGCTTCACAATTCATCCTAAAGCAGCAAATAGGTCATAATTCCCATGACTTTGGGAATCAGGTCTTTGAATGAGCCACTTTGGAACATTGCAGCCTGAAAACCAAGTCAGGAGCACATCAGGGGGCACATCCTAAAAAGTGGATTTATCCTGTATGGAGAGAAAGCTCCAAATAATGGTTTAAGTGATGCTGAATCGAGTTTTCAGGCAGGAATGCCTTGTAAATTAAGTGGGAAAAGGTGTTTATAGAGCCAAATAAAACTACTAGAGAGACATTGTAATGATTATCACAATCATGGTTTTCTATTAAAAAAATTGTAGATGGCTGCAGTTCTTTTTTTCTTCATTCAACTCGAGCTACAACAAACTTATTTTATTGCCTTCAGGTGCCACAGGTGCATTTTTTTAGGTTTTTTTTGCTATCTTATTTATTTTTATTTGCTTTAAAATATTCCCATCCAGGAGCTCTGAGCACATGGATGATCCATTGATTGGTTCCACTTTGCAGAAGGATAATTGTCTAAATCCCCACCCACTTTCTGTGTCCTGAAACTGCTTTGATTGCCTAGGATGGAACAAAGTGTGTTGAAAACCAAAACAGTGTTCTGCAGCTTAGAGGAGAAACCTGGCCTGGAGAGCAGCCAGGGAATAATCTGGGAATCATGGAAAGTAAGAGGTGCAAGAGGAAAGTCCTTTTCCTCCTGCAGGAATCATCCGTTAGCTCCCAGAACTGAGATGTCAGAGCTTTCACCTCTCGAGATTTGGGTGTTGATTTATGGAGGGAAAAATGTCTTCTGTTTAATGCATTACCCAGCGACCAGCCTGAAACAATGGCATAGCTGCAATTCCAGAATTTCCAGACCGAGGGAAGCACACGGGAGCAGCTGTAGCAGTCCCTGTGTTGTGTGTTGTGTTCGGAGGGGTTTCCTGATGGGGGTGGACGTGTCAGTGGGTGGAAGGGCTGCATTAGCACTCGGTGATAGACTCCATTCTTCCCAATAATGGCATTTATTATTCATGTGCTAATCCCGCGGTAATTCCTCCCGATGGCAGCGTCGGAGGGCTCATCCTCGCAGCTGTTTTCCTGCTCGCTGGGAGCAGCTTTGCCCTTTGAGTACCTGTCACCTCCCCGGGCCATCGCTCCATTTCACAGCTGAGTGCCTGGAGAAAGGCAAAGCAGCTCTGCAAAAGCCCAACCAAACCTGTGCTGGGTTTGTGTTAAATATCCCGGGGATTAGTTCCAGCTGCAGTTTTGCTGAGGTGGCCTGGCCTCACTTCCCTTCGGCAGCGACAGTGATTCATAAAACCCTCCCAGGGCAGCCTCTGACTCACAGCTCCAGGATTACAGCTGAGGCACTTGGAGATGTTGCCATCTCCAGCTGGGTTTTTACCCCTGGTTTGCCAGGATTGCCCTTTCCAACTGTATGGGGGCATATTTGCCCCAGCTGCATCCCCAGGTTGGCATCACAGTCCCTGGAATTGTCAAATTCAGGGAGCAGTGAACCCTGCCAGGTGATGTCTGAGCAGCCATTCCTACCTGCCCACATCTGCTGTGGCACAGCAGCTTTCAACACCTTGGGAAGATTCATAGAATCCTGGAATATCCTGAGCTGGAAAGGACTCAAGGATCATTCAGTCCTGCCCAGGACACCCCAGCAATCCCACCCTGTCCCTCAGAGCGTTGTCCAAACGCTCCTGGAGCTCTGGCAGCCTTGGGGCCGTGCCCACTGCCCTGGGGAGCCTGGGCAGTGCCCCAGCACCCTGTGGGGGAAGAACCTTTCCCTGAGATCCATCCCAACCCCCTGGCACAGCTCCAGCCCTTCCCTGGCTCCTGTCCCTGGTCCCAGAGCAGAGCTCAGTCCCTGCCCCTCCGCCTCCCCTCGGCAGGAGCTGCAGCCCCCGAGGAGTCTCCCCTCAGTCTCCTCTGCTCCAGCTGAACCAGCCGAGTGCCCTCAGCTGCTCCTCAGACCCTTCCCCATCTCCCTGTCCCTCCTTCAGACACTCCCCAACAGCTTTATCTTTCCTCATTTCTTTATTATATTTCAGTCTTACAAACAACTGCAAATAGAGACTCTCGTCCATCAAAGTCCTGAGGCTCCAGTTCATCCCAAACCCAACGCGGGTGTCCTCAAATACACCATCAAAGTCCCCTCCCAGCTACCCCAGCCTTCCCACCTCCCCCAGATCTGTTCCACATGGCCAGCAGAGCCCGAGGCAGGAGGTGTTGCAGGGATATTGTGTCAGTTCTCAGGGAGCTCCCAGCGGGTCCCAGTTGCTCTGGGCTCTTACACAAGCAGGTCACAGCAATTGGGCTGCACGAAACCACCTGGGAAAGTGTCTTGGACAGTCTGAGCTACTCAATAACCAGAGCACTCTGCAGAAAGTACAGAAGCAGCAGCACAACTGAACTCTGCATTAGGGATCTAAGCTGGAATTGTTTCAGGCTGAGGAGTTTATTTTCCTGGAGTTTCCTTCTTAACTTGTTTCCTCGTGATTTGCAGCCTCTTTTCACAAAAGAGGTCTCAGCCAAAATCACCAGTTAATGATTCCTTGTCCAGTTTTTATGGGTTTTAGTTCCTGAAACAGGTTGGAAGAAGAGTTTGTGGCACCACAGGAAGAGCTTCAAGTCAAATTGAAAACTGGTGGTTAGCGTAAACACATTAAGGCAAGAAATGGGCATGGGATAAGTAACTGTTTTTCCTCTTCGTTGTCTTTCCAGGTTTGCAAGTTCAGTGACAGCAGATTAGTGCTTAGAAAGATGTTCAGGAGCTGAAACGCTCCTAAGACCTGTTGGTTCTCAGATCCTGCACGTTGAAACCATAGTTACATCTTTTATTTCAAGAAGGAAAGATAAAGCCTTCTGTTGTTCTGGTGACTAAAGCAGAATTAAATAACCCAGCTGGAAATATTGGGGCTTCTGTGTTTTTCTGCTGCTGAGGAGGCTGTTGGAGCAGCTGCAATTGAAGCAGCTCCTGCATCCCTGTTCTAAAGGAGCAAACAAGCTCCAGGGAAGGGGAATGGAAAAACATTCCACTTGACATGTAGCAGAAAACCCTGTGTACCTTCTGCTCAGCTGCATCATCCTGACATTGCTCTTCCTGAAGGTGGAAAGAGATGGTTATGGCATTTAGCAGCATCATGGGGGTTAATCTCACTCAGATTTGCTGACCAGGGAGGGCAACAAAGAAAAATATGAGCTCTCTCCCAAAGCATGTGCAGTCCAAGCATAGCACTGCACATTTAGTAACTCCCCAAAAATGGTAAGAAAGGATATTAATTAATTAATTCTTGAACCAGGCTTTAAAATCAAGGGGTTCTGATTGCCTTTTCTCTCCGTTTCCACTGCAGGGAGACTCTGCCTGTGCTTACAGTTTTAAGAGGTATCTAGAGATGCAGCCAAGCACCAAAGCAGGACAGGAGCTGAGGCAGAGATGTCCATCAGGACATGTTTTCACAGAAATCATTGTGTGTGATGACTCCACCCTGCAATTTAGCTGATTTGAGTCATGGAATAATTGAAATCTTCGTCTTGGTCAGCTCTGTGTGGAGATGAAGGACAGCAAAAGCTTGTGAGGCTTTATCAAAACACTGAACAGGGTTATTCCTAAAGTTATAAGACCTACATTTTATAAGTCTGATAAAAAAAGGCTCTTAAATCAACCCATCTCCTTCTTAGCACTTCTAGTTCATCTCCTTATGGGTAACAGTTAACTACCAGTTATCTAATTTTAAACACTCCCCCACTAAATCACTATTTAGTGTGTCAGAATCTATTCTGATCTTTGTGGGACAAGTAATTAGAACACCTTTTCTAGCTGGAAAACTCTCATTTTCTTTGTGAGACTAATTTTGTTTGAAGGTCAGGTTTTCTGCAGACCCACTTGAGCTGGAAGGAGACTCTGCCACCGCCAAATGGAGCCAGAATTTTAGCTGTTTACCAGCATAGGGAGGAATTTCTTTTCCAAGATCTGTGGGAGATACTGAATTAGAAGAAAGCAGTCACTAGTTCAGGCCAACCAAAGAAACTTGGAATCTCTGTTTTTCTCTTTAAATGAGCTGGGATGAAGAGAAATTGAATGCAGATGAGGGAACAGATGTTTAAAATGCTTTAAAATCTGATTTAGGGGTGGAATCCAGCGTCACCTGGGAAGGGCTGAGTTGTTTTCTTTGAGCTTGCAGGGTCAAACCAACCAGGAACTGCTGCTCAGCTTCCACATAAAAGTAATGTGGGGCTGAGGGGGAAAAGGTTGAGGTGAGAACAGGAAATAAAATCAGCTGGAGAAGGGGTTGGCCAACAGCAGGAGACACAAGGAACACTGGGAATGGCACCTTGGGATTTCTTAGGAAAGAAGTGTGCTCGGGCACTGAGTTGTTATTTAAGATTAATGTTGCACGAGCCTGATTTCTGTATTGATTTTCCTCTGGGCGATGAACGACTGGCCCTGAGGAACTCCGAGGTGGTTACAGAACAATCAAGTGACAGAACCCCCTCCCTCCCCCAGAGCAGTTCCTGGTTCGTTTGTGCTGGACCGGCTGCCGTCGTGTCCATCCCCCTCGAGTCACCCGGGGCTGCTGGAGCTCTGCTGCTGGAAAAGGGGGATAATGTGGGGAGGGGAAGGAGCCCTGCCCTTCCCTGGGCCACGCAGAGCGGGTTGGGGTGCCCAGCACCTCGCAGGGCCCTCGGCAAACGCCCCCTGTGCCGTCCCACCGTGAGCAGCAGTTCTGAGGGCACCAGCTTTAGGGGATTTTTCCACGAATATTTTCCTTCTCTGCTGACCCTTTCCCCTCGTTTGCTTGCTGGAGCCTTTGTGTGGAGACTTTCCTAGTTTATTTTTTGCTCTCTCCCAGGTGTCCATCACCATCTGACGTGTCTCTGCAGGACAGGCCACTTTCCCAGGCAGGTGAGGGGGCAGGAGTGGCTCGTTTTCCTTCAGTTCCTGCCCTGCTTGGATCAGCCAAGCTCAGGGATGAGGAAGTGCCCGGCACAGCCCGGCTTTTGTAACTGCTCCTTTCGTTTGGAAATGTTATCAAAACAAACAGATGCCGGCAGGATGAGCGTTAAGACCTGTGCAGAGTCTGAGTTCAGAGGGAGCTTTGCCTGCTGAAACATTTCACCCAGCAGCTCGTTAAAATGCAGATATTCCAAGGAGACTTCCCCACCTCCCCCATTAGATCAGTCCTGCGATAAGAGCATATTTTCCCACCAATAAAATGAACGAGCCTGGAGGGCAGGGAAGGTTATTTTGCCTGGAATAAGTTATATCCCACGCTTCCCCTTAATTGTGGCTGAGGAACCAGTTCACTCCTGAGAACAAGCCAGAGACCAACCTCTGCCAGCACAACTGGCAAAGAGGGATTTCTTCCCTCTTTGTGCTGCTTTATTTGGGGTATAATCCCTGTGGATGCAGTCACAGGAGTGCTGCAGGAGGGACACAGGGAGGTCCAGCCCTGGCAGAGCTGCTTTTGCCAGGCTGTTTATTTGAGCAGCAGGAGCCTCGTGCTTTCTGCCCACGAGCCACCCGTGTCTGAACCAATATTTACTCAGGGCTCTGTGCACTGGGATCGTCAGCAATCCCTGCAGTGAGAGCAGGGCTGGAACCAGCCACCAGGCCAGATTAGCAGCTTGGCTTGTTTACATTTTTGAAAAAAAAAACAACCCTTGAATTCCAGGCTGAGGGAAAGGTGGCAGCTCAGCAGCTCCGGGAGCCTTTACCCACACACAGCAGAGCTCTCCCTGCAACAGCCCACCCAGAAAATCCCCTCTGGGCAGCAGAGCCCGACCTGTGCAGGCCTTGGCACCTCCCTAAAGGGACAGACCTGCTCTGTGACAACCCAAAATCCAAAGAACAGGTGCTTTCATGATGTCCCCAAGGGCCTGACAGCAAACTGCCACCAAAGGAGGCACCGAGCTGCCAACACGCTGAGGAGGGGAGGCTTCAAACTGCAGGCAGCTCTATTTCAGTACTAGAATTTTCCAGTTTTCCCACAGGTTTTTATTTATGAAGCTGTTCTAGCTTACAAATTAACTTACCCTGCCTCCTGCTTGTTATTAACCTGAGATTTGAAGGGTTCATTGCTCGTGGAAAGGTGTGACCACAGCACTCGGTGTTTTACAGCCACGCTCCCGAGAGCATCACAACACCTGTCCTGGGGTTTCCAGAGAAACCAGGTTTTTGGGAGCTGTTTATTCTCACAGTTTGTGTCTGTAAGCCCACAATCTCACACAGATATCCTAATTCAACCCACAGAATCAGGGGCAGCCTTGTTTTAGGGGAGGTAAAAAGCCCACTCCGTGCAGAGCTGAGCGTGTGCTCAGAGCTCTTAATGAGACCAACAGATTTCCTGAGGTGCTGACAGATAAAGAGGTGGCCCAGGGAAGGCAAGAATCCTTGAAATGGCTGTTCAGGATTGGAGCCATGACCTAGTTAGTCTGATTTCCTGCTCCCAGTGACTTTTACCAAGTAGTTCAGGTGATGAGCTGAAAACCTCCTGCCTCAGAGATGGGGGAAGAGACAGGGAGTGGCTGTGGCGGCTGAAAATAAACTGGACAGGAGTTAAGAATTGGTGCTGAAATCTGTTTTCTGGGGTATTTTAGCTACTGAAGCTGTTACTTTTTTCCTCTGGACGTCTATCTGGTCCCCACATAAATGTTTGTCCCTTCCTGGGTCAGGGTTTCCCTGCTGGGTAAGTCCTTTCCCATTGCAATGGTGCTCTGCCTTCCTGGTGCTTCCCTGGACTTTTGTCCTACAGCACAATAACTTCCCAGCTCACAGTTCCTCATTCCCTGTGACGTTTCCATGTTTGTTTGGCTTCACACACAGACACATCCTGGATCCCTGAGTGCCTTGGGAGCCAAGGGTCATGGACATTCCAGCTGGGAAGTCTCAGCCCACCTTCAGGCTCTGGGCTCCTTGGGGAGGGAAATGTAATCAGCTGTTCCTCAAGGAACAGGACGGGACAGGAAGCAGTGGGAGCCAGCAGGTCAGGCCTTAACAGCTGTCAGGACAGTGTGCACAGCCCTGGAGCTCTGCTAAGCCAAGGCTCAGGCTTAATGGGCTGGATGGGCACGTTAAACCCGATCCCTGCGGAGATCCGAGCGTGTCGTGGTCGTGGATCCCACCCCACCCCTGGGACTGGGTGTGTTCCTTAGGCAGGGAAACAGAAGCTGTGTTTTACCTGTTCAAGCTTCCAATGCTTCCTCAGTCCTTCCAGCCCCTTTGGAGGGTGGAACTTCCTGCCCTCACTGTGGATTGGGAAGCTGGGGCTGGGAGAAAGGGAAGTACAGAATAAGGTGGGAGTTGATCTTGTGCCTCTGCTCCCTTCAGGTGCCTCCTCTGACCTGTGGGAAATGGACTTTTAAAAGTCTCCTCAGCATCCTTTGAAATAACCAGAATATTCTCTCGAACCTGAAATCTCTGTCCTGTCCCTGGGAGCATGTGATTCCTTAGGCAGGGAAAACAGGAGCTGTGCTTTGTGTGTTTAAGGTTCCAATGCAACCCCTCACAGCCCCTTTGGAGGGTGGGGGTCCTGGGCTGGCTGGGGGGTCCCTGGGGTGTGTTTGAGGGCCCCTGAGATGTGTTTGGGGTCCCTGGAGTGTGTGTGATGGTCCCTGGGGAGGTTTTGGGGCAGTTTTGGGGCATTCTGCTGCAGTTTGGGGCAGTTTTGTGACATTGTGGGGCATTTTTGGTCAATTTGGGTACGTTTTGAGGCATTTTGGAGCAGTATGGGGACATTTCAGGGCAGATTTGGGGCATTTTGTGTCATTGAACCTGAATTCTCTGTCTTTATCCCACCTCGACTCCCATTGATTTTTATGAATTTTTTTTTATCTCTCTGTTGCATTTAAAGAAATTTCTGGGAGATTATTCCTTGGCAGTGATAACCACGTTTAATTCTCTTTTCTATTACACCAGGCTTTTCTTTCCATGGTTTCCTGGTGTCCTGCTGTCTGGCATTGTCAGGTTTGTGTGTTGTGGTTTAAGATTTAACCTCCTGCTGGTGGTAACTGGATGCTTTTCCCCATGAATTACAGAGGTGGCTGCAAGATATCAATGTATAAAACCCTGCATTTATTGTGTTTTATCATTCTCAGGGTGATGGTGATGGACATGACCCACCCCCTGGGGCTCTGCAGGCTCTGAGCACCATCACTGCTGTCATTGTCACAACTGAAACTCTGGTTTGTTTGTATTTTGGTGTCCCTGGGATTTATAAAACCCTTGGAATTTTAACAACAAGCCTTTCCTGAGCTTCTCATAAAAACAATGGAATTAAAATGTAATAGTACATTATGGTTGCACTCCAGACTGTGATCCCACAGACTGGGACTGGGGTGTTCCCGCTGCTTTCCCGGTGTCTCCAGATCCTGTGGGATGTGGAGGGCCTGTTGGATCCTTGCTGGCAGCAATTCTGTGTCCAGCCTTGAACATGAGGGATCAGAGAAGACCATGTTTTCATCTTGGAGTCACAGGAGATATTTCTTGCCATTGCAGAAGGCAAAGAACCCTGATCCTGTCCCAAAACAGGACCAGCTTTTCAGGAATCCTCCCTGACATGTCTGAGCTGGTCAGAAAACCCTTCAGTGATGGGGAGCCCAACATTTCCCTACACAATCCTTCCAACACTTCCCTGTCTTTACCACTACAAAGTATTTGGGTTTTTTTCCCTCTTACATTCCTGCTCTTCATCCCTCACTCACCCTGGGCAGGAACAGTTTCTGTCCTCACAGGACACATTCACACCCTTTTCTTTCATCCAAAATACTCCTTGCAGCCATTCCAGTGAGCCCTTTTTTCCATGACTTTCTTCCCCCTGACCTCCAGGTACAGCAGCTCTGACGCATTTCTTTGGAGGAAACCGTGGGATTGGGAAGAACAAACTGTCCTTCATTTTCCTTGAAAATAACTTCTTGTTGCAGCTCTCCCAGATTATTGTTATTATTGTTGTTATTATTGTTGTTACAATACTTCGAAAAGTTTGTGTTCTCAAGGCATAAGCAATCCAAGGGAAAGCAGCTCAAGTATTTTCTTGGATCGATTTTCCATTTGGGAATGTTTCAAGAGCTCCTGATGCAGCTTTGTGGGGACGTTGAGCACTGGAGCTGCAAGGTTTAGTTTCCCAGTTGGAAACCTGTATGTGGGATATCTTCCAGGAAGGACAGAGCTGGGAGAGACCTTCTGAGCCCAATCCAGGCCTGCTGTCCATGGATCCCATTCCCAAAGGCACGGTGCTCCCCCCTCAGCTCCCCCCTCCCTCCCCAAGCCGAGCGCTCTCAAAGTTACAAAGCTCCTTTGAAATCCAAATTATGTTTATTTGTAGCCAATTTTTTCCTCAATTGGCTTCATGCCAACATTGTCTTTATGCTTAAATAGGTATCCCAGCTCTTTCCTGGGTGTTTGCATGTGCAGCAATCCCACCCTTTGTTTTTGTAGGCAAAGCAAACTGACACTGTCTTCTGGAAAAGCTGCCTTGCTCCTTCTCCTGCTCCTTGTCAAGGAAGGCTCTCAGCCATCCAAAATCATTCCCACACAAGTTATATATGGAAAGCATCTCTCTGTGACCACCCAAGTGCCATCACCTCTTAGGTAAAACCCAAGTATTTATAAATTCATTTACTGGATGTTGGAAAAGGAGCTAAAACAGCACAAACATCCACGGAGAACAAGGAGGGGAAAATTTGGCACATCCACCTGGGAACAACGAGGATGGTTTGAGTTGGAAGGGACCTTAAATCTGATCCCATCCCACCCCCTGCCATGGGGGGGACACCTTCCACTAGCCCAGGTTGTTCCAACCTGGCCTTGGACACTTCCAGGGATGGGGCAGCCACAGCTTTTCTGGGCAACCTGTGCCAGGGCCCCCCCACCCTCCTAACCAGGAATTCCTTCCCAATATCCAGTCTAAACACTGAGCTTCACAGAAGGGCTGTTGGAGCCTCACACTGCATCCTGTGATTCGTTTGGCTCCCTGCTTTGATGTTCTCTTTGATGGTCTGGCACAGGGATCCAAAGCACCTTTGGCTGCACCACTGGCTCGGGAGGATGGAGGTGGGAAGGAGTTTGGCAAAACCTTCCTCTGCACCACAAAAATGTTGCTTAGAGATCTCCCAGCAGGACTCTGGGCCTGAGTCTGTGTAGCTCCTGTGTGCTGAGCTTTGAGAAGGAGCTAAGGAAATTATTTTATTGGTGAAAACTGGTGGCTTTTCATCTTTCTTCACACACAGAACTAAGGATCCTCTTGACATGGTTCCCATGGGACTGGTGGTATTGTCCCTTCACCCTGTGTGCTCCCAGGAGGGTGGGTTTAGTGCTAAAAGGAAGAGGGAATAGGTGCCAAAAGGCCTCAAAAATGGTGCTGTGACGTGATGTGCGAGAGCAGCAAAGCTGCTGGACACAAACTTGCTCCCTGTTGTCCTGCAGGTCCTGGAAAAGGACATTTCAAGGCTCTATTAGTTGCAAAAGCCTGGAGCTCTTATTTGGGGCAGATCTGGGCTGTAAAGACCAGTTGTGTTTTCCACAGCCATGTGTGGGTTTGACACCTGGGCAGGGGATGTCTGAGGGCTCAGATCCCACCCCCTTCCTCCCGAGGGGGCTGTGGGTGATCCCTGGAGCCAGGAATTCCTTGCCAGGGATGGATTGGGTTCCTCCAGCTGAAGAGACCATTTACAAGGGCCTGGAGTGACAGGACAAGGGGAGTGGCTTCCCACTGCCAGAGGGCAGGGTTAGATGGGATATTGGGAAGGAATTCTTGGCTGTGAGGGTGGGGAGGCCCTGGCACAGGTTGGTCAGAGAAGCTGTGGCTGTCCCATCCCTGGAAGTGTCCAAGGCCAGGTTGGATGGGGCTTGGAGCAACCTGGGATAGTGTCCATGGCAGGGGGTGGAACGAGATGAGCTTTAAGGTCCTTCCAACCCAAACCAGTCTGGGATTCTATGAAAGGAGTTGGGGCGGGAAGGGAATTGAGGACAAAGAGAAAAAGGATCATGGCCAGGCTTTGCTTGACTTTGGGTTGCCCCTGTAGGGCTGGGGCTGCACTCCCCAACCTCATGTCCTTGGCTCCAGAGGTGTTCAGCCCCCACTGGAGCCGCAGATGGTGCTGAAGGTGCCCCTTGCTCCCCTCTAAACCTCTCACCACCAGCTTATCCTCAGGGAGCAATCCCACTGCTGGTGTGTGCACAGAGCGGGGGGAAGGCGGTGTCCCATGTCTGGGGGGGTTTTGGAGACCCTGTGTGAGTGGAGGGGCTCAATCCCAGGAGAAATGAGGCAGGAGGCTGAAGCAAACCCTGCTGTGCGGCTCCTTCTCCCCCACCTCGGTCTGCACAGAGAACGATGGTGCCGCACAAACCCTAAACCCCCGGCAGGGTTTCCCAAAGCTGCCCCATCCCCTTTCCCCTCGCCAAACCCCCGTACTGGGCACGGCCCGGGCAGGGGAAGGTTTACTCGGGGCTGGGTGAGGCTGACTCAGAGCCGGGCTCAGCTCTGGGGCTGGAGCGGGAGCGTCTCCCCCGCTCCTCCCGCACCCCCGGCCCGGCCCCGGCGGCTGCAGCAAGACGGGGCCGGTCCCTGCGTGTGCCTCGCCTTTGTCTGGGCCGGGTGAGCACACACTGCTGCAGGGAGGTGTTTTAACCAGGAAAAAACCACGCGGGGCTCGATTGTTCCCCGAACCCGTGGAAAATTCCTCCTGTTCCCTCTCCCCTTTGCTCGAGCAGCTCCAAAACATGCGCGTAGGGGAAGGGGGGGAGGAGGGAGGTGTCTGTACCTTTGGGGTGGGAGCTGCTGCTCTTTCATTCCTGCCTCTAAATGATTTATTGGGAAAGACTCGCTGGGAGAAGCACAGCAATCACGGAGCGTTTTGGGACCAGCCATTTAAATGTCACCCGGGAAAGAATGGGAACAAATGAATCCCTGCCACCCCATCCCCCATCCCTCCCCTTCCCATCTGGCACAAGCCAAAGCAGATGGCAGAGGTGGCCGTGGCAGAGGGTGCTGGGCCATCCCTGCCAGTCCCGAGCTCCC